CACACACCCAGGTGTTTGTTTTGTGAGCCTGGGAGCTGAACCCAGGGTCTGCTCCCTGGGTTGCATCTCTGCTCTTTCTCTTTGTTATTTCAAGACAGGGTCCTGCTAAGTCACCCAGGCAGGACTTGAACTGCAGTCCTCCTGCCTCAGTCTCCCCAAGTGCTGGTGTTACAGGTGTGTGCCCTCACGCCATCATTTTTACAGTAAGTGCTCCATCTCAGAGGAGCCCTGTGCAATGATCGCCAGCCCAGGGGCCCCAATACCCTGAGCAGCCCTGCACTGGCAGCCTGGGCTACCTCTCTGGGAGCCGTTTGGTGACGCAGCAGTGTCCTCCCCCATCGTGGTGGCTTCTGCCAGAGCCCTGAGCAGTGACAGAGCACGGTTATGCGGCTCTCACAGGGTTCACTACACGCCCCCAACCTGCCAGGCATGCTGGGGGAGGGGCAGAGCAACCTGGGAACATCGTGACTGGCTGACCGGATGAACGCTGAGTGGCTGATTGAGCGACTGACTGACAGCTGAGTGGCTGACTGACTGACTGACTGAACGATGAGTGAGTGAATGCGCAGGCCCCGTGGGAGGGCCGTGTCTAAGCTCAGGCCCCACAGGCTCCACCTGGCACTCAGCTGGGTGCTGCCCGTACAGACCGTTAACAGTGGCTTCAGTCGGAGGGAAATTCTGTCACAGGAGCTGCTGCGATTCGAGTCGCAGGTTTCCCAGGCCCTGTCCACAGTCGAGGGCCATGAGTGGGGCCCACAGCCTGGACGAGGGGACATTGGACAGTACTGGCTTGACAGTCATTTTTAAAAGGATGCTGGAGCCCCGGTGTAGATCAGTGATTCAGAGCCCATCTGGCACCATGTGGTCCTGAGTTCAGGTCCTGACACCAAATACACAAATAAACATAAATAAAAGGACACTGCAGCTGGGACGGAGCTAGTGCCAGCTGCGCAGGAGGCTGAAGCAGGAGAGTCACTGTAAGCTCCAGGGCAGCACGGTGACACGGCAAGGTAATGAAGGAACACACACAGACGCAAAGCCCCAGGCTGTGTGCGGCCCAGCGTGGCCCTGGGCGTCTCCGGCTCCGTGACAGGAGGGAGCACAGGGCCACCCAGGGCTGCAGTGTAGCTCTAGCTGCCCACGGGATGCTGCTGGGGGAGCCCGGTGTGTTTCCTCTGGCCACAGAGACCTACGTGGGAGAGGTGACCAGGTCAGGAACAGCTGCAGGGGCGGCAAGTGGGGGGACCTTGCGTGTCAGAGGCGGGGTGCATGGCTGGAGCGAGGCAGGAGGTGCTTGACACCCACAACCTCTGCCCGGCAGAGCCCAGCCTCAGGTCGGCGCTGGGGACCCCACCACTTCCTGCCCAGTCGAGAGGGCTGCGGCATGGGCCCTGGCGCCCAGAGCCTTGCCAGACTCTGGGTAGCCAGAAAGGTGAGGGACCTCGGCAAGCAGCGAGTGTCCCCTGGCCCCAGAGTGTGCTGGCTGCCCCGTGGGCAGTGCAGGGTCACTGTCCTCTCTCCTCTCCCCACATGGCCTGGACGCCTCATTGCCCTCCGGAGCGCCCAGGAATGGCAATGCAGGAGCTGCCACTCACCCTCTGCCCAGGCCAGTCACTGCCTGACCATGGGGGCTGCCTGAGTCCCTGCATCCCAGCAGGCGGTGGGCACCGCTGTCCCCAGGCTGGTCCAGCAGAGGAGGTGACCCAGGGTGGCTCCGTGTCCCAGTGGCCCCTAGGCAGTGGTGGCACTCGCCTACACTCCCTCTAGGCCATGTCCCCCTCTACAGAGCCTCCCGGCCCCCTGAGCTGGTCAGAAACTTGTCCTTCTCAGGCTCCCTGGGCCGCTGGGGCTGCTGTGTCAGCCCAGGGCCCTCCGTGCAGTGTGTGGCCCTTGGGTCTGAGTGGCCAGCTTTGGGGCTCCCTTGGAAGACCTTTCCCACATAGCTCCTGGGGCCACAGTGGCGTCACTTCCCCATTTAGGCCCAAAGGCAGACAGGATGTCAGGGAGGTGATGCCAGTTAACATCTGCAGGGCTGACTGCCACTGTCTTGCGCTGCTGGCCGATGCCCATCAAGGCCCCCTCCTCCCTGAACCCCTACGACCAGAGGTAGCTTGGCCACCACAATCCAGGGGGATGGGACAGTGATACCTCGAGCCCCGACCCTGCTGTGGTAACGGAGCCTGCACCGCACACACAGCCTAGTGGACAGGAGTGACCGGGCCGGCCACTGCTCCAGTGGTCCTAAGCCAAATGCCTCGGAGATACCAAGCTCACTGAGCAGGGGCTTAGGCCCTGATTCTTGCCAGTTTGAGAACGTCCAGGCTGAGCTCTCCTCAGTGGGTGGCAGCCTCCACAGGCCCCAGCCCAGCTCTGCCCAGCCTGGCTTCCAGATCATCCGTGCTCTGTGGCCCCTCACTGTGCTCCAGACCTCATGTTGCAGCAGAGGCTGCAGGACTCCGGTGACATCACACAAACCACCCGTGTCGAGCCCGTGCAGCGACCAACTGCATGGTTTCCGGGCCAACTGGCCTGGGGCCTCCCCTCCCCTCTCCTCCACTGCGCTTCCTCTGATCCGTGGAGAAGAGCAAAGTGCACACCCTGCTGTGGCCCTCCTTCCTCCGTGGTCACACTGACACTCAGGAAGTGACTGCCCTGTGACGTTGGCTGGCTTAATCACGAGCCGGGCAGAGAAGTCAGCCAGCCGTCAACGCCGACCGTCCTGAGGCCAACAGGGGCCAGGCCAACAGGGTTGACTCTATGCAAAGCCCAGGGCAACCTGCGGGCAGGTTTGGAAAGTCCCCTGCAACCTCGGATTTGGTTCAGCGGCTCTGAGAGAACCGACCTCAGGGCCCAGAGCAGCGGACAGCAGCGAGCAGACCCAGAGCCTACAGGACTAGCAGGGCTACCAAGGCCATCCCTCCGGCCAGGAGAGGACTGGGCTTGGGCTCCAGGGACACTGGTTGTGGGTGTCCACTGTCCAGGTGGCCGAGGACATGTGTCACTGTCCAAGGTGGACAGGCCCTAACACCCATGTGGCTGCAACCTGCTGTCTGAGTGTCCTCCTGCACAGCACCCGGGGGCTGGGGCCCTCGCTGGGCCACACAGGGCTGGAGCAGGGGCGTCTAAGGCCCACCTGGGTTGGGGCTTGCGCCGTTCAGAAGAGAGGAAAGACATGGGCTAAACTCAAGGCTTATTTTTAGGGAACAATTTTCAAACTCTTGCTTTAATGAAACCATTTTTAGAAGTAATTTTTTATTCTCCCTAAAGTCTAACATGAGAGGAGTGTGGTGGGCCATGCTTAAAATCCCAGCACTCAGGAAGGTGGAGCAGGAGGACCACATGTTCAGCCTAACCTGCGTGATTTAGGTGGACCTATCTCAAGATAAGAAAGAAGAAAGGAGAAGGAGGGGGAGAGGGGGAGGAGGATGAGGAGATGGAGGAGGAGGAGATGGAGGAGGAGGAGAAGTAGGAGGAGATGGAGGAGGAGAAGGAGGGGGAGGAGGAGGACATCAAGGAAGAGATGGAGGAGGAGGAAGAGATGGAGGAGGAGAAAGAAAAGATGGAGGAGGAGGAGATGGAGGAGGAGGAGGAGGAAAAGATGGAGGAGGAGGAGGAGGAGGAGATGGAGGAAAAGATGGAGGAGGAGGAGGAGATGGAGGAGGAGAAGAAGATGGAGCCGTACCTCTGAGCAAAGGCTCTGGGTTCCAATCCTGTCACTGAAACGATAATAGTAACTCTAGATGCAATCTAAGATATCCCAGGACTGGGAGCCTCAGATGAGGCAGTGGCTGGAGCGATGTGCCCACCGTCCAGTGCCAGGGGCTGCAGCAGTGGACGAGGCCCATAGGTCCCAGCTCCAGGGCTCTGGCCCTGGCCCGTGTGTGGGAAGCCTCATTCCGCACCCAGGTGGCTGCCCAGCCCATGCGGCCCTCACCAACCCAGCCTGTCTGCCCTCCCAGTTTGGGAAGAGCCCGGCATGCAGTCAGGGTGGGGTGCAGCCTTTCACTGAGTCCCCACTCAGATGTCACGCACAGCACAGGACCAGGTGGCTCCCTGCCGGGCAGCCTGGACCACACCTCGGGAAAGGATGCAGACTGCGCTCCATCCACAGGGGCTGGGGTGCGGGGAGAGAAGGTGGGGCACAGCCCAGCTCTCAGCGGTGAGGGAAGTTCGGGGTCCCGCTACAGCATCAGGAAGGACGGGGGCTCCTGTGGCTCGGGGCTGGGACTTTTTGGTCCCTCAGGGAAGGGGTATGGGGGTCTCTACCGGGGATGCTGTGGGGTTGGCTGGTCTCGGGCAAGCACAGCCTGGCCACCATCTTCAAGGGCCACACGAGGCTCAGGGCCTTCCATACAGGGAGCACTGGGTCTTCCCAGAGCTGACCATACCTCTGTCCAACGTGGAAAGGCAGGCTCTGGGCTCCTGATGTCAGACCCACCTGCCCTGGACCCTGCCACCCCCACAAGCCCCGTGTGTCCCTTCACCTCTGCTGGGGCAACTGTCCTCAAGGAAGCACAGACATCTGGGGACCAGAGAGACCGGCCTGGAGCGGGGCTCTCGTCGCACTCTGGGGACCAACAGGGAGAGAAGGTGGAGATGGAGCCGTACCTCTGAGCAAAGCTCCCAAGATGGCTGGCTGTGAGACAGGGAATTTCCAGCCATGGGAGCTATCATGTGGGGGACGCTGCTGTACCCAAAACCCATACTCAACGGCAGGCCCCTCGGCTCCTGGCCCCTCTGGGCTGGGGGAGTCGCCGGCTCAGAACCATTCTGGACCCACAGCGGCTGCACTCCCTAGACCCTTGCAGTTCAGGAAGGCTGGGCTCGGAGGAGGTGCCAACTCCAGACCCATCCTCAGGAGCCCTGCTCAGGGACCTCGGGGGACCCTGGCTCCCCTAGCCTCAGTGCTGGGGCCCCAGGGTTGCTGCACACAGCAGCTGCCAGCTCCCCACACCTGGTGGCCCCCTGGCTCCCGTGACCGGCAGAGACGACTCTGGGTGTGCTTCAACGCACCTGTTTAATGCTCTCAGGTGAAGTCGGGGGTCCCTGCTCACTCACTCCGGAGCCCCTTGAGGGCCCTGCGGCAGGAAACTGAGCACCACCCACTCAGCCTCGCACCCGTCTGTGCTGAGGGGCCTCACGCACCCCACAGTGCCAAGTGACGGGGACCTCAGGATCTCCTATGGGAGGGGCTGAGCACCTGTCCACAGCAGGGCCACAGACCCAGGTCCTTGTGAGGCCACATTGCCCACGGTGTTCTTGTGCACACCCGGGTCACACAGTGGCACCATCCAGAACCCCCTGGTGCCGGCAAACTGCTTGGTGTATCCTGTGCGGCCCTGTGGACGAGGTGCGACAGCATGGGCTGCATCCCGTCCCTGGCATGAGGAGGCTCGGGGAGGCTGTGAGCTGAGCCCAGGTCTTCACCCCAGGCTGTGACCACAGGAGTCTGGGCACAGCGTGGCAGGCAGCTGGATCTGAGGGACTCCCCAAGGCTGACCAGAGACCGTGGCACCCCGGGAGTCCTGCTGGGGAACTCTGATGGGTACGGAAACTCTTTTCAATCCCCAACCCATACTCTGCTTCCAGGAGGAGGTGCGTTCCCATCCCTCTCCAGAGCCAAGTGTGCGGCAGCTCGGTGCATGGTGAAAAAGTTCTTGGGAAAAAAGTTACACTTAGCTTCTGGGAAACACAAGCAAGGTCCAACTTTCTTCTTCCTAAGTACGGTGAAGAGTGAAGCTGGAGGGTCTCCCAGAGCCTACAGTGTGGACGTTTCCTGCAGCGGTGCACACACCATCTTGCACACATAAGTGTGTACGCACGTGCACATGAGAGCCCGGGACAGAGGGGCGGCCAGCAAGCCTGGCAACCAGCCTCCTGCAGACAGCTCAGAGGTCCTCGTGGAAGAGCGGGCAACCTCACTCCTCGATGTAAACCCAGCGCCCTTCCTTCAGTGGAGACCGCGTCTGCCATTCAGGTCTGGGTGTGGATACAGCCTGGTGCCAAATCTGGGTGCTGGTGGCATCTGTTTGGCCCCGAGGGCGGGCAGCCGTTACTTGGGCATTGCAATCTCTCTGGGTCAGGGACAGTCCAAGTGTGTCCTCCCTGGGGCGCTCCCCTCTGTCACCAATGGCCTGCAGCTCCTGTCCTCAGGTGGCTCATGCAGGGCCTGCAGCTCGAAGTTCCCGTCGCCCACAGGCCCGAGCGAGTCCATCGCCAAGCTGCCTCTGATGTCCCCTGGGGAGCTGCTCGCAGACGCCCTGTCCCCATCCTGGGCAGTGAGCTGGTCTTGGAAGAGGAGAAAAGAGAGGGGATCTGAACACTGGCACCTCTTTTGCTAACAGCATCTCACATGAGATGGGGTGGGGGGGTCAAGCACCTACCACTGAGGCACCCCAACCCTGTCTATCACAGAGGCCCAGGGCAGGGTCTTCAGGGACTCAAACCAAGGAGATGGCTGCCTGCAGGGTCACTGACTCCAACCGACAGCTCTGGCTCTCTGGGGTACACGTGGGGTACACATGGGGTTGGGACCCTGTGCCAGGGGTGCCCACAGGAAACACTGGGCTCATAACTGGGTGTTTGAGGCCAACACTCAGAAGGGGGCCACAGCCATGCCCGCACCTGCACCCCAGGGAAACTCACCTGTGAGCTCCTGCTCCGGCACCACAGCCTGGGCACCTGTGGGATGAACCAGAGCCACTGAGGGCTGGGCAGAGGCAAAGTGGGTGCTCTGAAGACCCCAGGGGTCCCCAGTTTCAGCATCCTGGCCACCACTCAAGCTCGGGGCTGGGAGAGGTGCCCAGGCCACCCTGCCATGGAAGGTGCTTTCCATCACAGCGAGGGACAGCACGTACGGTGTTCTAGGCTGGGCTAAGCCCAGGCAGGGGTTGCAGTGGCAGGGGGTGCTGGTAGTGGGAAGTATTTCTGAGACAGCCAGTGCCTGCCACACCCTGGGGCTGTGGAGCAGCACTGGGAGTGAGGTGGGGACTTCTGTCCCTCCATCCTGCAGCCTCTGGGATCCACGTGACCCTGCTCCCCTGGGAGCCACCAGGCAAGGCCAGCGCAGCAGCCCAAGTTCAGGGCTTTCCTATCTTCCTGGAGCCCTCCTCTGAGACCTCAGGCCACCCTCTTGGTCTGTCCTCAGGTCACACAGAGTGACGGCCACACGTCTTCTACTCAGCATCCATAGACAGAAGCTTTGTCCCATCTCCAGACTCGGAAGCCACTGCCCCCCAAGCTGGGACTGGGCTTCTCCCACACCCTCTGGCTCAGCTGCATCTGGAACTCAGCGCCTTTGAGAACTTTGGGCTTTGAATCAGCTTCCCGGAGGGTTCGGTTGCTAGCGCTTGTGTGTGCTGGGAAGTTCCCACCAACCCTCCAGTGATAGCAACCAGCCTACCCAGCGGGGGAGCTCAAAAGGCAGACACTCGGCAGACACTCACACCGACACAGCCAGCATGCACACCTGGGCACAGCTGTCTCCACGCACCTGTACGGCTTCTACAGCCACGGATGATGCAGAGTAGGCCCACGAGTGCTGCCCCCAGCAGCACGACAGGGAGGATGATGTTGAGGGCCATGTCACCCTCCCCACGCGGGTGGCCTGGATCCTCCGTGATACGGTCCATATTTCCACTGGGGGAGCGCGCTGTAGCAAAGAGATGGGGAAGGACGTTTCTCCTAGATCACAGGAGGGTCCGGGCACCCCGCCATCACCCTGCCTCCATCTGTAGCACCAGGCTGCCTTGAGACGCAAAGCCGGCCCTGAGCCCAGGGAGAGGCAACAGGGCTTTTAATCAAGGTGAGAGTCACACACAGCAGACCATTAAATGTGACCACTCGGTGGCACCCAGTCATTCACAGGGCAGCGCAGCTGTCACCCTGCAGGGAGAAGTCACCGCTGGCAGTCACACTCCCTCCCCTGTCCCCCTGCCGGGCCACCTCTAGCCTGCTTCCCAACCCTGTGGTTCATCTGTGTGCACTTGCTATGAATGGCCCCGACACCTGGCTCAGTCACCAGACACCGAAGTCTCATGTGTCAGAGCACCTTCCCTTCCGCTGTGGAACGGGATCCATGCTGTGCCAGGCCACACCGTGGCTGGCATCCAGATGGGTGCAGGGAGGGTTTCCCCAGCGGCTGTTGTGAGCCTGCTGTGGGGAGGCAGTCACAGTGCCTGCTCAGGTCTCTGTCAGGGTGCACTGCAGGAGCGGGGTGCTGGTGCCCACTGTTCCCTGGGCTGAGAACCTGCCAGCTCTCCCTCCGAAGCAGCAGCCCTTCTCTGTCCTCCCAAAGCAAGGCGGTGTGCAGGGCCCAAGCCTCCTGCCTGAGCCTCACTCCAAGCTGAGTAAGTGAACTGCTCTTGCACCCCGGCACCCACGGCGGATCCCCACACACTCCAGATGTGGTGGGGACCAACGACCTCCACACCAGGTTGACCCTGAATGTGCCTTGGTGTCACCCAGAAGCCTGAGACTCGGCCGATGGAGAACTTCCCAGGCTGCTTGGCCTGCTCCGATGGGGGAGCCCTCACCCTGGTCCACACAGGTGCAGAGACCACTGGAGGCTGTGCCCGGACTTCAGGCAGGCAGGGCTGGGCCTGCAGGGCCCAAGCTCAGAGCAGCAGCTGAGCTCAGTGCTTGTGGCCAGCCTGAGTGCTCATGGGCCACCTGCGTGCCCAGCACGGGAGCCGTGCACTGGGCTCTGTGGGTGGTGCTATGTTCCTACAGCTGTGTTGGGGTGCAGAGATCCCCTCCTGCCTCCATTCCTACCCCCCCCCCCCGTCTCCCTAGGGAGCCAGGGACACAGACTTGGAAGAGTCCCAGATAGAGACCACCGGACCCCTCCGCTGCATGGCTCTATGGCTTCTGACCCCTTGGCAGCCACCCAGCCCCTTGGAGGGCACCCTGGCTCCTATGCAAAGCAGAGTCTGTGGGTGCAGACACAGTGGGGGAGCCTGCCTTCGGACCAACCCTTCTAGGCACCCTCCCAACACTGCCGGCCTTTGGCCCGCCCCCTGCTGTACCTTCAGGGCCACTGCCCGTCAGGTTCTGCCGCAGGAGCACGTTCTCTATGCAGCAGCCCACGCTCACACCAGGTGCCCAGGGCACCCTCAGAACGCTGACCACATCATATAGGCCTCGCTCATTCAAGGACACTGTGTCGTTGTGCAGTGCCCTGTCCAGCACAGTGTCATCCGTCTTGTTGACCCAGTACACGTTGGGCCGCGGGTAGCCGTTGGTGGACGTACACATGAAGGTGAGCTCCTGGTCCTGGCGGGTGCTGCTGCTGTTGACCACGGGCACGCTGAAGTTAGCTGCAGGGACAGGTGGGCAGTAAGCGAGGGTAGGGTCCGGGGCCCACGTCCTCGGCAGGCCGAGAGCAGCACATGCCCATCCTGGTGGAGGGGCTGGGCCACAGCTGAGCTTAGGACAGCCCCAGACCTGGCCACCTGAGTCATCACCCCAACAGAGGGCCCTGCGGCAGGCCCTTCTCATCCGGTGCCCCTCCCACAGCTGCCACCCACCAAGCAGCACCCTGAGCTGCCTCGGGGATGCCTGCACATTTCCCTTCAGCCTTGATCGAATTCTGCATGTCAGAGCTTGCATAACTTACTCTTAGTGTTTAAATATAATTTAGATTTTTAAGGGTTATTTTTATTACTGCAGTAGACATTCGCATCACCTAACAATCATACGGGGGCGAGTTGATTTATGGATGTTTCTCGCCCCCGTCTTTTTACTTCCCCTAATTTTTCTTTTTAAAGACAAGTCTCGCTATGTAACTCAAGCTAGCCGTGCACTCACTACGTAGCCCAGACTGGCTCTGAACTCATGGTGATCGTCCTGCCTCAGCTTCCTGAGCACTGGGCTGATGGGTGTAACTGCTCTCAGCTCTACCTCATTTTATAAAATTTAGTTTTGAGTCACAGAGTTTAAGGTAAAAGCAGCAAGACTGGGGGTTCTGGGGGGCCCAGTGGCCTTGGGTTAGGAACTTTCTGGGGAGCAGAACACATCCATATCTCCTGCTGAGGCCCTGGAAACGGAAGCCCCCACTGGTTGAGGCTCCGCGGGACACATAACGTGTGCCTGGTTAAGGACAGATGAAGGCAGAGATGGCACTTTCTCCACGCCGAGCTGGAAGAAACCGGACCCCGCTCCCGGCCTCACCTGCCACGCGCAGTGTGACTGTGGCCTTCAAGATGGCCTTCATGTTCCCTTGCTCCCGCCTGAAGACCAGGCAGGTGAACCTCTGCGTGTCCTGTGGAGTAACATTTCGTAGCAGCAGCGAGAAGTTGCCCTGTTCCATGTTCTGCGGGAACAGGTGGGCCCGGTCCCGGTAGCGGCCATCGACTTCACTGGTGGAGTTCTTCTGCGGGATGTGCACCATCACTACGGTGGACTCCCGGATTTGCCAGTAAACATACACCTCATCTAGGTTGAATTGGAGCCTCTTGGGGTACACGCAGCTCAGCAAACAGTCGCTGCCCACTGTCACCCCGACTTCCATTTCTTGGGTCTCTGCAAGGATTCAGGGAGGAGACCTTTATTTTTCCAGGCAACTATTTGCCTATGGAGGGACCCTGGCTTTGGGGTTACAAGACCCCGACACACAGCCGGGCGTGGGGTGCACGCCTGTCATTCCAGGCCTCTAAAGGCTAAAGCCAGCCGGGGCGACATCCTGAGTTCAGTGCCCCAGACAGACAAAGGCGACTCTGAAGGAGTGCTGGTGGACACTCACAGGACAGCTGGGAGACTGCCCCGTGGAGCCAGTACTGTGGTCCAGTTGAAGCAGGGGCCTTCCAGGCCACTCTGTCCCTCTGCTACTTCTCAGGAGTACTCTGATTCATACACAATAGAAAGGACTTAAAACCGCAGGCGTGGAAAGAAAATAATCTCTCAACCACATTTACAATGCTGTGTGCACTGGTGGGGAAAAGTCACGGGACACGGGTGGCTCTGCGATGCTTCCACACCTCCAGGAAGAGAGGCACATCCCCAGCTGCTGTGCCCTTGGCCCCAGGTCTCTGCTTAGGGCACATCCCTGTGTCCTGGCTCCTCCCCACAGCGGCTTTCAGGACTCCACAGTCCCACCATGGACCTACATCTAGGGATCCTGGGTCTCAGAAGAGCCAAGGGAGAGCAGGAAGGTGCAAGGAAGAGTTCTGGAAGCTCCCCTCCCAGCTGTGTACCTGCACCCCAACTTACCAGCTCGCAGGCTGTGGAGAAGCAGCAGTAACAGCAGGCCAGGGCTGGGAAAAAAACAGCAGAAAGGCAGGTGAGACAGGCTGCACATGCCTGCTTCCTTCAGCTGGCTGTGGAGCTCAAGGGAACCACTGAAGCGACGCTCAAGGGAACCAAACCTCCTGTCCCCGTACAAACCCCAGAAAAGCACTGATAACACAGTGTGGTCCCTTGGTAGCCTGTTCCTCCAGGACGGGATGCATTCCAAGACATTCTGAAGTCTGAGGAAAACAGCCTGGACACAGCAGGAGTTGAGCTGCAGCCCCAGTAGGGGGCAGCGCTGGCTTTCAGGACTCAGAACTGTGCAAGCCCCTGGGGGTCCCCATCATCCTCCCACAGCGCCACCTCCATTGGGGTCCCTGAGCCCACCCCGACTGCCACCTCCTGCCCACACTGTGCCCTTCCTGGGTGCTGCCTGCCGGGGTCCTCGCAGTGCACTATCCTTGGTGTGGGGACACTCACCGTCCCTGCCCCAGACGCCCTCACCCCGAGAACACCATCCCCGGGTCAGGTAGCAAAGGTGCAGTGGACGACATCCAGGAAGACCCTAGATTTTCGCCCTCCCTCTCCCATGGACCAGCTTAAGTCCGGTGTCTGTCCCCTGGGCCGTGGATAGAGGACCTCTCCAGTGCATGGGGAGAAGGAGGGGGGCAGAAGGGACACAGGATGCCACCCTTCAATGCACCCTAAAAGGCGTGGGGACACTGACAAAAATCTGCACTGCACGGTTGTCACACCCCTGCCCCCGGCAACACCCCGTTTTCCTGTTTGGGTCCACCGCCCGTGAAGGGGTGTTCTGAAGGTAGGGACCCCCGACTGCGTGGAGACCCACAGGGTCACCAGAGGGTGGGCACCGCGGGCCTAAAGTAAGCATCTCAGCACGGTCATATCCTTCCTTATTCTGGGAAGTCAGCCGCACCGGACTGGAGAAGAGGGCGCGGCAGCCCGTGCTCCGTGCGCGGCAGCCCGGCTCTATGCGAGCTGCCTCCTCGGCCAGGCGTCTATGCGCTCGCGCGCCATCCACGTCCACACCTTCGCAGGTGACCGCGCCCTGGAAGCCGAGGGTCCGCCCCCCCCCCCGCCGGCGACCCACGACCGCGGGCGTCCGCAGCCGCTCCGGCTTACCCTCGCAGCGGCATGGCTCAAAGCCCTCGGGGCCGCGATCTCGGGGCTGGGACCGGAGCGGGACTTTGGGGCCGGGACGTCGGAGCTGCGACCGCGCCAGGAGGCGACTCCACGCTGCTGGCGCCCGGAGCTCTGGGTCTCCCGCAGCCCGCGCAGCCGGGTGATCGCGGGGGCGGGGACAGTGGCCTCGGAAGGTACAGCCCGGGGGCGCGGCGAGATGGGGGGGGCGGGGCGAGATGGGGGGAGGGGGCAGGGCGAGATGGGGGGCAGGGCGAGATCGGGAGGGGGCAGGGCAAGATCGGGGCGGGGCCGCAGCGCTGTCCCCGCGCCGAGACCCCCTGCGCGGTCGCCTGAGGATGTGGAGCGCCGGGGCGGGAGCATGGGCCGGGCAGGTGTCTGCCGACCGCTGGGCGGAGGCGAAGGCGGGAAGGACGGGGCGCTGCGCAGAGACGCGGGCGTCCAACTCGGCCTCTGCCCGGCTCAACGCCGACCTCTGGGGGATCCGCAGGGCACAGCATGTTCGCCTGGGCGAGGCAGAGGTGTTCAGCCCGGAACCGGCTGCGCCCCGCCCCCTTATTCTCCGTCCCGCCCTCTCCTCCACTCCCCGCCCCTTCCCCGCCCCCTCTTCGCCCCGCCCCGCCTCCTCCGCGCGGTGCTCCTTGCTCCAGCTGGTGTCCCTGGCGTTCGCACCAGGAAGGATGTGGCCAGTTCTAGGTAGAGGCTGCATCCCCTCTCACGCTCCGGGCGTCAGGCCCTGCCCACGAGGCGATAGAGGGTCCCTCCCTGTGGAGGCTCCCGGAGACCCCAGGCAAGGGCAGCACCCTGCTCCACCACCCCCAGCTCCGTGCTGCGTCTGGTTCCAGGGAGCAGGGCAAGGGGGTGTCCTGTTACCACCCCCTCCCCCAACACTCCGGGACTGGAAGCCCCTGCCGATCTCGCGCACGGCAGGAGGCTGGAGACTGTGCGAGTCCCGCCGTGCCAGGCGGAGCACCTGGCCCCAGCCCTACGCGGAGGCCGCCCTTCCCACACCGGCTTAGCGCACTCTGGCGGAGCTTCACTCGGACAGAACTGCCAGTTCAGAGGGAGCATGTGCATTCCAGCATTCCTGGAGGCTGTCAGGACATGGGTGGCAGCTAGCCTTGGCAATTAAGTGATTTAGTGAGACTTGTCTCAGAGTTAAAGAACAGTTAAGATGTGTATGTCACTAACTTCTCTGAGTTCATTGAAAAAAAGATTTGTGATAATGTTGTTCAGTTAAATGTAGACACTTTGTACCCTGAGTGACTTAAAAATAACAATACAAAATGTATTATCTATTGCTGTCCCCTAATTACAGGGGACAGCAATAGATTTGTTTTGAAATTTTGGGGGTTTTTTCTCTTTAAAATAAACATAGCCAGGCATGGTGGTGCACATCTGTAATTTGAGAGGCTGAGGCAGGAGGATCATTGCAAATTTAAAACCAACCTGGGTTACAAAATGAGCTCAAGACCAGCTTGAACTATGTAGAGAGACCCTATCTCCAAAAGACAAGAAAAATAAATAAATAAAAATAAAGTGTAAATAAAGTTTTAAAAAGCAGCCAAATGTGGTGGCACACACCTGTAATTCCTACACTTGGGAGAGGACTTGGGCAAGAGGACTGCTGCGAGTTTGAGGCCAGCCTGGGCTGCACAGTGAGACACTGTCTCAGAAAGAAAGTTAACCAAGCCAAATATCCGGCATGTAACTCGGTGTGAAGGCTCTGGGTTCAATCCCATTGCCGTCCACAAAAAGAAGAGGAGCAGGAGGAGCAGGAGGAGGAAAGAAAAGGTCACCTGAAGGTTAGGGTTCTTGAGGCTCAAGCAGGAGGCGCTGAGGCAAAGGTAAGATCCAGGTGAGCGCAGCACCTCTGCGAAGGATCCTGGGGGTGGGGGCGGGGACTGCAGCTGCAGGTGCTGGGCCAGCATGTGGTGAGCGAGCCCTGCTCCAGGCCCTGTGGAGAAGGAGCAGGGGGGCCTGGCTGTGCCCTGGGGGTGCGACTCTACAGGAAAGCTTGGTTTGCTGCAGGGGGGGTGCAGGTGAGGTGGGAGCCAGCAGGGAGGTTATCAGGACGATGAGTCCTGGAGCCCAGAACCTCGTGGAGGCCGCTAGCCCTCAGGGTGCCTGGATGGACCCTTGTGGCAGGAGGTGTGTGGCCTTTGTGGCCAGGGCTGAAGTTCCTGTCTCGTAGGCAGGATGGAGTCCAGGGCAGTCAGGGCCACTCCTAGGAGTGGTGAGGGAGGGTCTGGTCAGGTCCAGTGCTGCCCACCCCCTCCGGACAGGAGCAGCGGGGAGCCCTGCCCCCAGCAGTGGGCCCTTGTGCCAGCCACACGCTGACAGGGCTGGCTGTGGGGTGGGGCCCTGGTGGAGGGGACTTGGGTCCTGACACAGGACAGCGCCAGGCCGAGTCCAGGTCCCGGCCCTCTCATCAGGTGCCGCTCCCCTCTGCGCCTTCAGCCTCATCTGGGGAGTAGGACTCCACGTGTGTTCCTCCAGGGGCAGCGCACAGGACAGTGTGAGCTGTGCCTTAGGTCCTCTCAGGTGGCACACACCTCACAAGCCCACAGCAGCTGCCGATGCCCCCAGGGGCTAGGAGCAGTGAAGACCCAGGGAGCTGCCAGTGCCAGGCTGTGGGGAGGGCACCCCGAGGGCCCTGGGACCAGGTGGTGACTGTTCTTGTGCTGTGCAGGTGGACAAGTCTGCCGAGCTCCCAAACCACCCCAGTCCTCCAGAAACTGCCTCGCCCAGGGTCCCTGCCCTAGCACACTGAAGGTCACAGTCCCCTGGGTCTGGGAGACCCCACAGCTTGGCCCTCAGCCAGGGCCCTGCTCTTTGAAGTTGGCTTCCACTCCTGGGTATGAGGTCTCCAGGGCTGCTGTCACCAACTTCCGCAACCTTGGTGGCTTAAACAGGGCTGCAGTTAATTCCTGTCCCCACCCTGGAGGTGGAAAGCCAGAAATCACTGCCTCCCCAAAGACCTGAGGGGCAAGCCAGCCCCCCACTCCCTGGTGATTCCAGGGTCCTTGTACTGTGGTTGCAGGGCTGTCCCCTCCTTATGGTCATGTCTGTGGCCACCTCCTGCTTATGAAGATGTTACTGACCACGTGTCAGCCTGCTTAATGGCCCAGAATAGGTCCTGACTCAACCTTGTCAAGGGTGTGTTGTGTTGTGGCTTGGCATAACTGACGCCATCTTGAGCCCTGCGTTTAACTGGTGCCCTGTATTTGACTCAGAAAACTGGAAAATTACTCAGGGTACAAGTCCCATGAGAAAAGCAGAATGAGCTATACCCACAGGAGAAAAATTAACCTGCTCAACAAAGAAGCAGGATACAGGTATCACCCAAAATTAACGAAAGATTCTAGCTAAATTGTTTCCAACAGGATGTCTTTTGTGATTCTCTCTTAAAAACTCTGATGTTTCAGTTTGGGGCCGCTTGTTTGGACCCTGAACCACGGGGGTCTGTATACAAGTGGTCCTGAGCTCAGCTAATTAAATTCCAAATTTATCAATTTGGCTGCTTGGATTCCTATATTGTTCACGAACCCACCTCACCATGCTGCCACAAGAGGTGACATTTGCAGACACCCCCAGACAGCAGCACTGGTCTTAATCCTCAGTGCACCCTGAGCCTCTTTGCCAGGGTGTCAGGAAGGAATCCGGGTGGGACAGCACTCTGTTCCAGGAACCCAGCCTGGTCACTGCTCCCTAGTGTCCCCCACTGCCCCAGGCTGCTGGCTCGGGCTCTTGCACCCCTCTTCCCTCACCCCGTCAGGAGGCCCTGATGCTGCATGATTTGCAGTCTTGTGAGATCTGCCCCAGGCAGCTCTTATTTGGTTTGTTGAGGGCAGCATCTGTGCTCTTCCACAGTTCAGGGTGTTGTGTGGGGTGGTGAGGGGGTAAGGGGTCTCGGCCATCAGCTGGACCAGCTGGGCATGACAGCACCAGGGGTGTGTCAGCCACCACGCCCCGAGGAACAAACACCAGGACAGATCAGGAGCCATCCTAAAATAAGTGTATTTCTAACTCCTCTTGGGAACACAGAAGCCCTCCTGGGAGCACAACCCCTGCGGGTTCTGAGAAGTGAGGGTGGGGCCCTGCGCAGGAACCCCAGAATGGGGCGTTCTGCACTCCCGAGAAAGACCCAAAGCCAAACATGGGAGAAGATAAGACTGCAGAGGACAGATGACCATCTGCAGGCAGTTTCCATTGTTCTAGGAAGTCTTAAAAAAAAAAGGAAAAGAAAAAAGTCTCTCTTTTTCCATGGTGAAGCAGCTCACTTATAAAGAGGAAGTGAGTTCTGAGAAAAGTATGAGAAATACTCTCGCAGCGGGAGAAAGCAGTTCTTCACGAGTGAGGCGGGGCTGTGGGGGCTGAGCGCTGTGGTCTGGGCGCCTTGGGCCAGCAGGGACACTTCCTCCTCAGGGGCCAGGGCCGAGTGCCTGCTGCCAAGGGGGGGATGCTGTCAGGGCGTTGTGGCTCTGTGTTAGGCTGGGCCTGAGCCCCTGGGCAGGAGTGACCTGGGAGCTGTCAGGAGTGGACAGCAGTCATGGAGACAGGGGGACCCAAGGAGGAAAGCACAGGTGTGGGCCAGAGATCATTAGAGCCTTGGGGTGTCCCCAGCATTCCCAGGGGCCCAGTGTTGAAGTAGCCACGTGGGGAGAGGACAGGAGACCCTGGTCTGTGGCCTGATGGTCCCCAGAGAGGTGAGCTTCAAGCACAGGCCCTCTGGACCCCCTGTGTGTGGCCAGGCCCCCCGGATTAGGGTCTGACATGCAGAGCCCACACCCTCTCCCGGCCAGCGACGGGCTATCTGTAGCCATCCAGGAATGACAGTGGTGTCTGAAGGCAGGTGTCGCATGGCCAGCTGCCCACAGCCTGGGCAGGATGATTTCCATTTCATATCACGAGGAGCCCAGTGTCCCAGTGTGAGGCCCAGAGGGCCCTGGCCATAGCTGCCCAGGAGCAAGGGGTAAATAGGGGCCCTCAGACTGGGCTGAGGCCTGGGAGGGGACAGCTGAGGGCCCAACCCTGGTACTGCCCTGCGGGGACCCACAGCTCCTCCAACAGGCCATGCTGGCAGCCCTGTCCTATTCTGCCCACCCCTGGCCTTGAGCTCTGAGCCTCTGCCCAGCAGTCCTGGGATGGCAGGAAACCCCAACACTGCCACAGCCACAGTCACAGGACACAGACTGGGGGAGTGGGATGCAGTGTCTGGACAGAAAACGCAGCCCTACGGGGCATCCTGGGGCGTGTTGGGTGTGAAGGCATGCGTGTGAGTGGGTGTGTGCAGGGCTGGGTCACCGTGCAGGTCACAGGTGGGAGCCCAGCATAGGGCACTGTGAGCTTGGGGTGGCTGAGCAGACTCGGACCCTGTCCGGGAGCCGATGGCAGGGTCAGTGTCCCCTTGGTCCCCAGTACCTCCTCACGGCGGGGATGTTGCTCCACACTCTGGCAGCGCCCTGCAGGACCCGGCCATGGACATCCTGGAGGGTGGCCGGCTCTATCTGCGGGAAAGGGCCGTGCGTCAGCTACCGAGCACGCCACGGCATCGGGTGTGGTCCCCCACCCCAAGAAGTGATCTCTAGAGTTGGGTGCATGGCCCTAGGGGGTGGGGGCTCTGCTAGCAACAAGGATTCCCTGGGGTCCTTGGGAAGAAGATGGGAGGAGATGGACCTTTGCGCACTGGGACAGGAGCTGAGAATGTCAAGACGCTTGCAGGAGAAACTGAGGCAAGTGGCCGTGTCCAGATCCCCTCCCTGTGTCCTGACCAGTCTGGGGGCCAGGCCCCGACTGCAGAGGCCGGCAGGGAGAGGTCCATTTCCCTCCATGCCACCTCTGACCCTACACGCATGCTGGCTGAAGACAGACCTCGTCTGCTGCCCTGAGCTGCGGCCTGTGGACCGCAGGATTCGAGGACCCAGGACACGGATGCAGGTTTCTGACAGTGAGTGGGGCAGACACCCCAGCCCAGCTGCTGCGCCCAGACAGTGCTCACAGTGGTTCCAGGGACTGAGCTTCCCGGAGGAGAGGAAACCACAGACCTGAGGGGTCAGACGGCTCAAGGCCGCTCTCCACCAAGTCGCCCTGCACATCAGTGAGATGGAGTCCACGCTGGGAAAACAGAACCTGGGAAAACAACCCGAGGGCCCTTTGCACAGAAGATGCCAGAGCACCAGGAGGAGCGAAGGCTTCCCTCAGTTTCCTGTTTTTATGAAGCAAATAGAGCAAAAGCTGATGGTGGGCCCCCAAAACAGAGCACAGATGCAGCTCCCTGTGCTCAGCAACTCAGAGAATCCAAGGTGGAATGGGCTTGTGGTGCTCAGTGACACATGGGAAGAGTGGCAGCCAGACGTGGTTGTGCAGGCCTGTAATCCTAGCACTCTAGGAGGCTGAGGCAGGAGGATCACACAGTTTGATCCCAATCTGAGCAACTCAGTGACTGTGCCAGACTCTGTCTAAAATAAAATAAAATAATAAAATAAAATAAAATGGGCTGGGGTGCAGCTCAGTGCCTGGGTTTTCCCCACGAATGCAAGGATGGCTGCTACAATATCTGTTTATAGACTGTATCCCTGTCAAAATATCTGAACAGGAAGTTACCCAATTATCCTCATAAATGACAACCTTGGACGAAGTCCAACAGCTACGGTTAATGAAATCCTCGAAGCCACGGGCATCGACAGAAACTTCCTTGACATGGTGCACCATAGTGCCCGTAGCCCCAGGCCAGATGACTGACTCAGGGACCCTGGAACCCTGGGCACAGGGAGCAGGAGAGGATGCCCTGCCACTGCAGTGACCGCAAACTCCACCGCGCTGGCGCCTCCTCGAGAAAGAGATACCCAGGCAAGGACAAGGGAGATGCTGGTCACTGTCTGATGACAATCTGACCAAACACCCGGGAACCCCCAAGATCAGCTGAAAACCACTATCACCAGCGGAGGAGCCCGGTGAGGCAGCCCAAGCCCTGTGCATGGAGGGAGTTGGGAGCACCAGGCATAGAACCGAAGCTAGCAAGATGGTCGGTCCGGAGAGCCCACCTAGCATGGAGGAAGCGCAGAAGGACGAGCCCTGGGGCACAACCCGTGGAGAGCAGGACCAGAGTCAGGGCACAAGGCCGGGCCAGGACAGACCAGGGATGTCTGTGAGAGCCACCTGCTTATTTGGTTTGCTCCTGAGCCCACACAGGCCCCTGGCACTAGCAGACCCTGCCCTTCCTGCTCTGCGACTGGCTGAGGTCCTGACTCTTGGCATCCTCTTCTGGGCCCTGCTGGCCTGGTCTGGCGGTCCCCTCTCCTGTGGCTTCCCATAATGCTCCTGGAATCCCTACTAGCTTGGTCCCAGACGGTTGCCCCGGGAGCAAAACCCAGGTGTTGGCAAGGTTGTGTGTGCACACACCTGTGTAGGCACACGTGCAGTGCACTGACGCAGAGTGATATGTGCATGTGTGGAATGTGTTATGTGTTCACGTGCTCAGACTGGTGGAGGCAGTGACCCCAGCAGTGCCCTGAGGACACAGGGGCGTGTGACCTAGGGTGGCCTCCCAGGCAGCTGTGCCAGGGAAGCAGTGGCTTCGGGCCAGCATCCCCAGCCGGGGTCATTCTGAGCCCTCCCAGCCTGAAGACGCCTGCCCCCTGGCCCAGTGGCACCTCAAGGAAGCGGGTGGCAATGGCCTGGTCATCACTGGTCAGCAGCAGGTGGTCCACAAACATCCAGAAGAAAGGCTGAGGGCTGCCAGGCGGGGGCCTCGAGTACTGCAGCAGCCGGTGGAACTGGAACAGGAACCAAGCTGCCGGGAGGTGCAGAACACAGCGGGGCTGAGGCAGGGCAGGTCTGGGACATCGATGCCCACGCTAGGGCCACGGGACCCAGGGAGACCAGAGGTGGGGCGGGCCAGGACCTCCTTGGGGGACAATGCCATCAGCCCTGCCTCTTGGACGCCATGCCAAAGCACAGCCACCTTTGGGCCATGTGGGCACACGGGGCAGTTGGTGGGGCAGAGAGGACTAGGGACGGACACCAGGAAGCCTTGGGTATGCTGGTACCCTCACTGTGCAGCTGGACCAGTGGCTCCATGAGCATCTGTGTCAACACATCCCCACTGCATGCCCTGGGCCTGTTCTGGCGACAGCTGGCCAGGACTGTTTCAAACACACAGTGGGTAGGGGAGGCAGCAGAGTGGCCCAGTGACCATGATGAGATGCCTCGGTGACCGTGGTCCCTGGCCCCATGAGCGTCTTACCGGGAGAACGGTCACAGGCGTGGCCCAGAGTGGGTGTTGAGCCGTACACCAGGTCAAATGGGCCCCACTCCTCCACCTGTGAGAGGGGACAGTGGACAGTGTCCTCAGTCTGGGGACACTGTCACCAAGAGCCAAGTGCGCCTCCTGGCCATGCTGGTCAGGTGACAGTGACCCGGAGAACCCAGGAAATCCAAGGCGGGAGCAGAGCTCACTGGGCCTTAGGGGCAGACCTGGGGCAATGGGCTCTGAAGAGGGCATCCCAGTGAGAGGATGCCCTGAGCTGCTCCTGGGGCATCTGCATGCGGCCCCCACCAGCCCAAGGGCTCTCCAGTGTCATCAGCCTGTTGGGAGCCAGTGGTTCACAATTGGGGTGAATCACAGCCAGACACCTGCCATGAACACCTGACAGGGGACCCACACCCTATGAGGTCCCCTAGAGGCTTCAAGCACTTGTGAAATTGCCCTCCTGAGGCCCTCCCTGCCTCAGTCAGGTGCTGTCCTAGGGAGCAGTGGCTGGAGAGGGGGGTCCCAGCAGGCAGATCTGATGAGGACAACTGTCAACACCTGCAGCTGTTCAGGTCCAGACTCAGCATCTTCTGCTCAAGGGTGCTGTGGGATTAGTCCTCCAGCTGGCAGTGCCAGCCAGAGGTGGCTGGAATGAACTCCCTGGATTTGAAGGCCGAGCTATGGCCCTGGGCTGGACACAGGAACTCATGTACCACAGCCACAGCAGGCCCGTGGTAATGGCTGAGCCCTGCAACCTGGGGCCCCGCCGGCCTGTGCCAGGCCCAGCAGATTTGCGTCCAGCACCCGTTCCCCAGGTCCCTAAGCCAGGGCTGCTCACTCACGTCTCTCCGCACGACATCTGTGACATCCTCCAAGTGCCGCAGCCTTCCTGCCTGGGACCCAGCTTCCAAAAAGCCCAAACTCATCAGCTCTGGAGGAAGACAGCAAGAAGGCACCGCGTTGTGTGGACTTCACGCTGCAGGGTGGCCCCAGGACCAAGGACCGTCCTCTCCGGGTCCTGTGTCCTGCATCCTACGTCTTGCAAGCTGCCTGTCCCTAAGGGAGGGCAGGGCTTGCTGGCCTGAGACGGGGTCAGCACTGAGGAGGCCGAGCAAGCTCCAGCCCGCCTGGAAAATAGCCCCTCAGTGAGATGCTGCCTCAGAGCAAAAAACAGAAAAGCAAAAAGAAAAGGGAGACCCATCCCCAGTACTGCCCCAAACCCAGAAACAATACAAAGCCAAAACCACCAGCACAAGCCCCCAGGCACCACCAGTCCAGCAGGCTGCAATGTGACCGGACTATGGCCACTGCTGGCCTTACCAGCCGGGCAGGTGACCCAGAACAGGCCCGGCTGCTGCAGCCTCCATGGGCAGCGAGCTTGTGGGCAGGTGAGGCCCTCACTGTGTCTGGGGCACCTGTGCCTAATGTGGGGTGATGTGGCCGCCACAGTGCAGGTGCTGGGACACATGGTGGGGACAGAGCAGGACCCACTCTGTGGACGCAGAGGAGGGTTTGACCTTGCCAGGGGCTCTGGCATCTTTCCAACATCCCCGGGGGGGATGGGTGTGTTTTATGAGGTGCTGCCACCACTGGCAGGACTGGAGATGGATCTGGACAAGGGAGCTGCACTCCCTGTGGACTCCACGCCCGTGCCCCCCCCGCCAGGATGCCCCTTGCGCCCTCCCCGTCTCCCTCCTCCTCCTCCTCCTCCTCCTCCTCCTTTTGTGCATGGGGTCCCATGCTGGACTCCAGCCCACAGCCCCCCAGAGACCTTGCCTTCCCTTTCCTGATCAACTGGGGGATCTGAGGGTGGACTTCTCCCTGCCACATTCCTTCCAGGGTCCTCTTGGCTTAGGAAGTCACCACCAAAGGCCTGTGCATGTGGAGTGGGCTCCTTTGTATCCCCCACCCCAGAGGCAGACACTGGAGAGGCCAAAACACCCAAGCTCCCCACTTCCTGTAGACAGCTGTGGGACATCACTGCACTTACCTTGCTTAATGTCCCCAAACAGGGATAGCACCCGCATCGGCTGTCTCTTCCACACAGGCACTGTTTTGTACATCTCCAGGGGACTTCCCTGTGAAGACAAAGAAGAGACAAGAGCTAGGTGTACATCTGCCATTCCAGCACTCAGGAGGCTGAGGCAGGAGGATCACTATGTGTTCAAGGCCAGTCTGGGCTACAAGGCAAGTCCCTGTCTCAAACAAGATCGAATGAAACACCCACTCTCTTCACATAAAGTCCCTGGGCAGCACTGGGGCCTCCATCTGGCCAAGAGGGAGGGGTCCAACCCCTGCAGAGGGCTCCAGAGGGCAAGACGCGCCCACTCTCTGAAAAGTGCCATGAAGACACTGCACACAGCTGTCACGTGGGTCACATCTGCACCCAGATAGCACCCAGGAGATAGGTGATGGCCAAGTAGACACGGCATCTGGGTGGCCAGGGTCTTCGGAGCCCACACCTGGCTAGGCGGTGCCGAGACCCTAAGCGAAGAGGACCTCAACAAGCACAGCGGCACACCCCTGCAATCCCAGCCCTTGGAAGGCTGAGGCAAGAGGATTGCTGTGAGCTCAAGGCCAGCATGAGCTATGCAGTGAGACCCTGATCACCGTGTAAATGGAGATAAGGAATAGGCCATGCACATGGAAGACCAAAAGCACCTCAGCCTCTGCAAGTTTGGGGAGGATGCCACCCGGCCATCCCACTGTGCTCTCACCGCCTCGAGGTCGTGGAAGGCCTTCAGCTGGCCGCGCCACTTGGGCCGCCGCCGCAGCAGCCCGCTGCATGGGAAGGGCAGGCACAGGAAGCACACCCAGCTGGACATGCTGTGCACCTTGTCTGAGGTCCCGGGGCCCACCAACACGTCCAGGCACTCGAAGCAGTAGCACCTGGAATCGACAGAAACTGAGTCACTTGAGCCTGGGATGCCGGCGGCCATAGCACTCTGCAGTTGTGGCAGGACGGTGGCAACTTCTCTCAAGATTTAAGAGCCATCTCTTTTAAGGGCTGGAGGTATGGGTCAGTGCAAAGGCCCGGGCTCAATCCCTCCGAGCCGGATATTAGAGAAATGTCAGAGCTGGTGCCAGGCTCCGGAAAAGTATCAGTGGGGTGGCAGGTCTGGGGGACCAGTGTGGGGAGCAGGGCCCTGCCTCACCTTGTGCACTGGGGGTTCTCGCAGATGAGCAGAACACTCCCCGAGGCACAGATGGAGCAGCAGGACTGGTACCCATCCTCATCATAAAGGAACAGGGCGCCCAGGAACTTGTCCTAGGGAGACAGAGGTGGGTCCCCAGGCCCCTGCTCCTGGGCTGGTGGAGCCCCGCCTGGCCCCGGCTTACCTTGCAGGGGGCACACATTCCTCCTTCGAACAGGGGATGCCGTATGTGCACCTGGAAACTCCCGCAGCAGAGGCAGATGGCTGCGGGGACATGGGTGAAGCTGGGCACTGAGTAAACAAAGGGCCCACGGAGCTGACGCCAACGATCGAGTGAAGGATCCCAGGGAGAGGAGCAGAGGACCCGTGGTCACGAGGATGAGACTCAGGGCCAGGAGTGGTGGGGGAGAAGCACCTGCCATCTCAGCACTCAGGAGGCTGAGGCAGGAGGACTGCAGTGTGTTCAAGGCCAGCCTGAGCTACAGAGGGAGACCCTGTCTCCAAAACCCGAGGTGAAAGAACCAATGGGTCTCAGGCCAGGGCCAGCTCACCTTCTATGTTCCGCTGGTTCACTGAGACTTCGTAAGTGATGCGCTCTGGAGGAGGAGGAGAGAGGCGGCCCCTTTCCCTCTCCGCCTTCTGCTTTGAAGGAGGGGCACCCGGGCACATGTGGGAGCGGGAAGGTCTCTTTCACTCTGTGGTACTGGGGGCTCTGTCCAGGCCTGCCCATAGAGCCGCATCCCAGCCGTTTTGAAAATTCTTAGTTTGCTAAATTGTTGAATTGTTAGGTTGCCCAGACTGGGCTCAACTTGTAATCTTCCTGCCTCAGCCTCCCAGAACGCAGGCACGTGCGCCACCTTAAACTGTGATCTCGCCTGATCTAGGAATCTAAGCTGTGGGCCTGGTGAGGGTGGCCATGGCAGGTGGGCCATGGCCCTGGTGGGCGCCAGCACCCTGAGCAGAGGCCAGGAGCACCCTTACCTCTGCCCCGCCTGCGTGCAGGGGCCTGTGGCGGCTCAATGGAGTCCAGCAGGAGCACGTCTACACTGCGCTCAGCCTCCAGCGCCAGGGCTGGGGCACAGGAGGAGCAAACACAGGATCAGCCGGGTCAGGACCCCAGGCCCTGCCCAGCATTCTCCCCACAGCGAGGGGACACCCATTTGCCCCTCTCCTGGTATCCCCCTCAGGCCCACAAGCAGGCCATCGCCAAGGTTGAGCAGGAGCCCAGGTCTCACCTGGGCAGCCGGCAGGGCCAGGGTCCCGCCTGTCCAGGGCCTTTGGGCTCCGGGTCTTGAGGATGGAGCAGGCCATGGAGTCCGGAGAGGAGGCCTTCCAGAGCCACCTGAGTGGCAGTGGGGGGCATTGGGGGCACGTGGTGTGCGGGGTGGGGTCAGGATAGGGAGGGGCTTAGAGCCCCCAGGGAGTTGTGGGGGCAGGCCCTGGAAAAGCAGGGCTTTGGAAGGGGCCCCAGGCAGGGGCCCTCAGCTGTATGGACACTTGGGGTGGGACTAAGGAACTCAGCATGGGGGGTGTCCAGCGTAGAGCTGGGTGGGCACTCGGGGCGGGTCTTAGGACCTCGGTGGGAGGAGCCTCAAACTGGGTGGAAGGGGGTAAGAGGCCCAATTGGAGTGATCAGAGAATTTTTATTTTTTATCGGTACCTGGGATCAAACTCACGACTGCCTACTTGCAAAGCAGGTGCTTATGCTGATGAGCTAAATCCCCAGCCCTGTGATCAGAGAATTTAAAAAGGAGGTGCGGCTGGGCGTGGTGGCGCATGCCTGTAATCCCAGAATTTGAGAGGCTGGGGCAAGAAGATTGCTGTGAATTCAAGACAAGCCTGAATGGTATAGTAAACCCTGCATCAAAAAAGACAAAAAAATAAAAAAGGGAGATGAGGTGGGGCCGGGTGGAAAAAGAGCATTCCAACTCTAGGGAGGCTGAAGCAGGAGGGTGGCTGAGTTTGAGACCGGCCTGGGCTACAGCGAGTTCAAGTCCAGTGACACACTGTCTCAAAAAAAAAAAAAAAAAAAAAAAGCTTGGGGGCAGGGATAGAATGAACAGAGGGAGCCTGTGGGAAGGAAGGAGTGGGTGTCGGGGGCGTGGGCATGCGGGGGCGTGGGCACGCGGGGGCGAGGGCTTGCGGGGGCGTGGACACGCGGGGGGGCGAGAGCATGCGGGGGAGTGGGCATGCGGGGGCGTGGGCATGCGGGGGCGAGGGCATGCGGGGGCGAGGGCATGCGGGGGAGTGGGCTGTGGCCACAATCAGTTAGGGGAGACCTGGGGAGCTCAGCTCCCCACTTGCACAGGACCGGTGTCTGCTGCCGACGCCAGCACGGAGTCACTGGGCAGCCAGGGGAGGGGTTCGCTGATGAGGGCTCCTCTTGGGGACATTGGCAACACCGCCCAGGAGGACGCAAGGCAGGTCAGCCTGGGAGGGGGCACTCCCAAATGCAGCCGGGGACTTTGGTCAGAAAGGGAAACCGAGACACGGGCTAAAACATGGTGACCATGATAATAGGAAGGAAACCTGCAAAGTAAGCTTCTGGATGGCAGCGAGGTGGTCGCGCTGCGGCCCAGAAAAATGACCCACCGGCCCGTCTGGGCCAAGCAGGAAACCTCGGGACCTTCTCCCGTCTGGGCGGCAGGGTCCTGGCTGCCCCCAGGGGCTGCAGGTTCCACCCTGGGGACTTGGAGCAGAGCTGGCCACGCCCTGGAGTAACCCACCCGCGTGGGCGCCACATACACTGCAGGAAGCTCAGCTTTAGGAAACGCCAGTTTACTCTCTGCACAGATTTTGTTTCCACAGTTTAATGTTCGAGTTGCAAAATGAGACCGGAAATGGTGACAGATAAACTCTCTACAGAGATTGCCTCTCTCTTCCTTCTTCTTTTGTCTTTAGCCTTCGGTATTTGTTTCTGTGTTCTTTTTTTTTTTTTTAAAGCAGCTCATCCATTAACATCTTTTATCTTAAAAGAAAAACCAGATCGGGCACGTCGTGGGCTCACCACCACTGGCTGGACAAGCTGGGCTCATTGCCAGCCCTCGGAAGGCTGAGGCTGAATGGTCTCCTTGCATGTTAGAGACATTAATGCTCCTGTAGTCTCATTTGTATATCCGGAACCTTTGTTCAGCTTGCCAACCCATATACCGTCAGGTCAGACTGTTGCAGGCAGCTGAGCCGGTTAGAAATATTCTAGGCAGTCAGACAGGGCTGAGCCTCAAAGAAGCCGGCACAGAGGACCAGGTCTGATGACCTTGAGGGGGCCACACACCTCTTGCTGTGAGCCAGATCTCAAGACAGAAGGCAAAACAAATGCAGGCACACCCTTGGTATAATCCTTAGGGATTAAATCTGGATACCTTGAAGCCAGGAGTCACCATCCCAAGCCCCGGGAAGAGTCACTGCTCCCTAAGAATGCCCGCTTCCTTCATGACCTGCTTTCTCATTTGTCCCCACTGTAATCAGTTTTACTTGAACAATTGATCTTATTAGTTGACCACAGCTCTGTCCCACCTCATGCCTGTCTACCTCTGGAGTTTCCAGTTTCCTCCACTTTAGACCCACCTCACCTCATACTTTATAAAATTTTACTTTATAAAAATCCCAAGAAAATACAGACTCTTTGGCAACCTGCTCGGGACCCCTTCTGTCTCTCTCAGACAGAAGCTTTCTTTCTCTCAATAAATATATTCTGCTCTTAACCTCCGTTGTCCCTAAAATTCATTCTTTGATTGTAGAGAACACGAGCTCATACCGGATACAGTAGGTCGGGTTTCATTCCTCTGTACCAAGATCCATTGCTCATCTCATGCTCCTTTCATTCTTAAACCCGTTCTCTTCACCAAAGGTGATAGAAGCATCTGTTGTTATTCTTTTAAAATTTTATCTCACCTTTTTCATCATGCAGATCTTTTTGTACATTTTGTAGGGTGTTTTCTGGGGTTGGCTTGGTTTTACTGATGATTGGAAAAGTTATAAATTTTTTTTAAATTCCTCATTTTTTTTTTTTTTTTGAGACAGGATCTTTCTGTGTAATTCAGGCTGGTCTTGAACTCTAGCCCAGGCTGGCCTCAGACTTGCAGTGATCCTTCTGCCTCAGCTCCTGAGTGCTTCCTCATTTAGCTTGACTGGAACTGTATCTTTAGATGACTTCCATTTGTACCATAATTTGGACCCAGGACTTGGCCTTTAGTGTCCAGCAATGCTAACTGAAATGCACCCATAGACCTTTCAAAGGCAGAGCCAAGCTGCAACCCAACCCACACAGTGCCAACTGGTGACTGAGCCTGGAGGTTTTACTGTATAAAAAGCAGCTCACACATGAGTACCTTTTGTCTTAAAAGAGAAGTGAGTAACAGGCATGCTGTAGGCTCACCACACACGGTTAGAAACCTAAACTCACTTGCCAGGCAAAGTGGCACACACCTGTGATGCCAGCACTTGGGACACTGTCACATTTGGTTCACTGTCAACCTGAGAAGTCTAGAAGTTTAACCGAGAGACCCAGCAGAAGCCAAGGCCCTTACTTTGTAAACAGCCTCAGCCCGTGCAGGAGGAGGGCACAGAGGTGGTGTGAGTGCCATACCTGCCCTGGGGGCAGGGGGTAACCTGCCTATAACATCAGGGAGGGAAAGAGGCTTGCTCTGCCTGCTTTTGCTCTGGCACTACCTTGAAGCATTGCCCCGGTGCCACATCACCCTGCCTTGCACCCAGCTGATTGTGGACTGAAACCTCCACAAACTGGAAGCTAAATAAACTTGAATTTGCACTATGTGCCTAACAGCAGACTGCATTGTTACCTAACCGGGCTATGGCTTTAAAGCATCTTTAGGAACATTCTGGCCCAGGACTCCTCTTCACTTGTCTTGATCACCCCCAGGGACAGATACATCCCTATGTAAGCACTTACTTTAACCATTTCACTTCTTACCTGGCTTTACAAACCATTGTTCATAAGAATCTTCTCTCTAATTGCTATCTCCCACTGGCGTAAACTATTGCCTTCTGCCATGTATCATCCTGCCTTGAAGTCAGCCAATTACAAACCACTGCAAACCTTGAGGTCAATAAACATTTTCCTTAGCTTTGGGTGTCAGGTATGTTGTCACAGCAGTGAGAAAAACAACTAAGACAGAATTAGTCCTAGGAGTGGGGTCATGCTTCCAGGGATGTGAATCATCTGAGGAGAACCCCAAGGAGGAAGCAGAACAGGCCCAAAAGAAAAGCCATGTTTAGTGTCAGTCCCAGGCGGTGCATAGTGGCTGATTCACTGAAGTCTGGAGTTCACAGACTGCCTCAGATGCAGCACATGGAACTATAGGACTTAATATTTGCCCTGCTGAACTTTTGTAGGGAGCTACTGAAGCTGGAGATTGATCAGGTGTGGGGCTAAAGCAAGGCCGGCCCTGAGAACCCAGAGCCCAAAGCGAGCCGGGTAAACCAGCTGCCCCAGCTCCAGGAAGGCAGGGCCCAGCCAACCAGGCAGACAGGTAGCCGGCAGCGGGGCTGAACCTGCCGTCCTCCTCCTGAGTGTGTAAATAACCGCGCTGCAGTGGCTGGGCAGTTCCTTCTGTCCCATCAGGAGAGGGGGCTCCACCGGACCCCAGCTTTCCTCTCCTCTTTATTTTCCCATCCTTTCAAGGTCCTCCCTGATCAACCCTGAACATCTAGAGCTGTGCTGGTCACAGCAGAT